GCCCGCTCAGCCCGGACGCGCAGCGCGCGGCCCCACGTTTTAGTTCCTTTCTCCCCCGCGCGCCCCTCTGCACCCTCGCGACGCACATGGTCCCCGAGAAGAACACTTCTATTTCCAGCCTCCGCGGCTCTCCCGGCCACAGCGCCCTTTGTTGAGAGGTAGATTTTGATGAAACGGGGACGGGCTCCTGAAATCGGGAGCTGCTTGGGTCAAGTGGCTTCCCTCCTCTCCCGAAGAAAGGGCTTTTGAGGGGTTTGAACATCGAGGGAACGCCCCCATTTTATAGGGACGGGTTACGTGGGGGGCAGCGATCCCGCCAAGGTGGTTGTTAGACTGGAGAGAGCCCCAACAAAAATGTTATTAACTTAAGTTGGAGGGACACTTGTGTGAAATTGGATGGCTTGTAAGATGGCGGTTCCCAGTTGTTTCCAAGGTCTTCTGCATTTGTGTGGAAAATGGTAAAGTTTTCAAGGTGGTATTTGTTGAGAGTCTTGGACAAGTGCTGTGAACATTGTTGGGACGTGCTCACCGGGAAGTGGGCATTTCAAATTTGGAGCTTTTTTTTGAAGTGAAGATGGTGACTGGACGCTAGTCTTGGTAGAGGTTTCTTTTCTCCACGTCTTTCCCCCCTTTTCCTTTTTCCCCCCAACCCCTTGGTACAGATTGCGACTTCTCTCTCTACCTCTACTTTGGGATGCTCCCAGAATCTTGACTTAAGTCCACTGTGTTTTATGTGTTTTGCTAAATGTCAGCATAGGTCATGTGGTAAAGGGATGCTTTAGAAAATGAGCACTAAAAAGTTGATTGCTTATGTTTACGCAGTCATTTGGGCTTGACAGCGATAGAGCATGATCTTTTCCCCAGAGATTTACAGTTAATAATTGGAAGTAAACAAGTAGAGAGACTTTGATCATTCCCAATTGCAATAAAAGGATTTAGTGGGCTTAGTGGTCACGGTTCAATATTTGAAAGAGAATCATGTATTAACCCCTTCCCTTTAAGTAGGCGAAATTCCCAGCATATTTATCCAAACGCGAGTGTAAGTTAGTGTTATGATGAGTGTTAGGAGTAGCTCAAATAATAGAGGAATTTTAACCCCAAGTTTGGAAACACATTATAAGGTACACTAAAGACCTGATACTTGAGGATGTAAATGGTTGACAGTACAATTTATTAGACTGTTTAGTCCAAATAATAACATTTGGGTTTTAAGTAGACCAATGAAAATTTTCTCAGAAGTTGATTTTATGAGCAAAATTTTTATATTTGAGTTCATTTCCATACATCTCCTTCGAAGTGTAGAGATGTTTGAAATAACCTACCTGTACAAATTAATTTGCCCCCTAGTAACAATATCTTTGAAGCCATAGAAGACCATTTACATGCAAATACACACACATACATGCAAATACACACACATACAAGCTTTTGTAAGAAAATTACACATTTAATTATATTTTATAAATCCATTGATACTCTACCACTGATTTATTGGATGTATTTAAGTGTCCAAATATGCAAAATTCTCCCAAAGAGTCAAGTTAACCCCAACTTTAGCCATACTTATATAGAGCTGTGAGTACCAACTAGAGTTATGGAGTTAATTTGCATTTCTTAGATTGCAGTAGTCAAGCTGATTGTTAACATAAGATCTTGTTTCTGTTTTCCTTCATTTTGACATTACTAGTGTTAGGCCTCCAATTAAAAACTGACAATCCCAGCTGAGTATCCTATAATGGCAAGTTTTAATTCTTGAACATTACCAGCATGTTCCTTGGTGCATTTTTAGTAGCTTAAGGGCACTTTCTTTGTTGAAACCTAGTAGGTTTTTATTTCTAAGGTGCAAGACGTTTTTCTTAAACCTTATCAAACATGTCAAACATTTTGGAAGTCCTCATTAGATTGTCAGTACTTTCAAATTGGATAAAAAGATTAAGGGTTGATTTTTATATAAGCAACAAAGTAATATTTATTTGCATTGGAAACACTAATAGGACTGTGGCCAAATTCTTCTGAACTGAGGGAGAGTTGTGTGAATTAAGCCTTAGGATGAATTTGAAAGGGTTTTTGGGTCAAGTACATAGGACTTAAATGTTCAAAGCCAACCAGTAGATAACCCTCCATTGAAGTTTGATTATTCTCTAAGTTACTATTGTGTTTGTGTGGTGTTTGGTTTTCTGTAAGTTAGAGAAGAAATAAAGGCAGCTGTTTTTATTGGAGCCCCTTGATGAACTTCATGATCCATGGTGTTAGTGTGATATACTTTCACAGGCAAATAGAAGTTATCACCTTGCTAACTATCTTTCTAGGAAAGATCCTGTGGTTTCACAAGGAGAGTTTTCTTTAAGCACCAAGAAGGCTGGTCTTTAATCATCAAGTACAATTTTAAATATTGCTACTCTTTAGGGCACTGCTCCTTCTAACAGCCCCTCTGCCAGGCCACTTAGATTTATGTTAACATATGTTGTCAGTATTATTCTAAACAAGTAGTCCAAAGATGTTTGAGGAATAACACATGAAGTTTTCTGGGTGAGGTTACTGGTTGTCACTGGGGTCACTTTCATAAAAGGTTTGGTTTGTTTGGGGCCATTTTTTCAGTACTCAATTCAATTTCAGCTATTGAGGTATGTTGATTGGTATTTCCCTCTTCTGCATTAAGATTCCTTAAGAAATAAAGCCTCAGAGGCATCTTACTGCAAGTTTCACAAGTTCCTAGATTTCCATTCAAGGCAGCAGTAGTCCAGTCAGGTCTAGAACCTTAGTCTATTTCAGGTTCTAAAGTGAATGTAGTAGGGTGATAGTAAGAAATGGTACTTTTCAGCACTACTACACGAAGTAATTGACTTCCTTGATTGTCCTGTGGTGTATTGTTGCAGACTGTTCCCCACCGTGACTTTTCTATAATGTATATTATCTTTTGAGAATTTTATTTCATCGTGTGGGGGTTCAGGGGGGTTTATATGGAAGTTAGGCTGAGAAAAATGACATTTGTTTTTCCTCTCCTATCGTTACTGTGGGTTGACAAGGTGTTGATTTAGCGTTGGGAATGGGCTGGTCACATGGTTCTTTACATATTGTCACTATCCTACCGATTAGTTTTTCTAGCTTCCAGCATGGTTTGTTCGAATAAAGCACAGTGCTTTTGCCCCCCACCCCCATCTCCACCCGCTTTGTAAAACAAATTCAGTTTTCAGTCCATCCAAAACTTTGATTTATCTAATCTACAGGAGAACGTCTTATTAGA